TTAAGAAATACTATTAGATATAAGACACTAGATGTGGTCGCACAACAAACAACAGATGCGGTGTCTGCCACACGACAAAGAAAAGAGAGACATAGCACTACGGCATACGAATGTGGCGCTGTGCAGCGAACAGATGCTGCAGTTCACTTCTAGCAGTACAAGGATGGTGACGAAAGTGTTGGGAAGGCACCTATTTCAACAGACGTCCTCTGCGCATCAACTAGTATCAACCGTTGCTGGACATCAGGGCAGTGACATCGGCATGAGGCAAACTAATTGAGATACCAATCCCGAGGAGCTAGGAGCAGTGCTACGAGAGGACCAGGGATAGGTACAGTCAACAACGTCTCGAGCGATTCTTGCGGTAATCAAGAGATGGGAACTCTCCACATGTCATAATCGACCAAATCGTGTATGTTTGATGCGCGGAGCAAGCGTCATACTTATTCTACACGTTTCTAGGTACGATCCCAGTTTTCGAAGCCGGGACAAAATTGCTTCGGCTATTGGGGCTCACGTGCGTGATACGGCTAGTGCACTCCTGTCACAGGATAGTTCCTTCACTTCGGTAGGCAACTCTTATAGCACGCATAAATTTGGCTGAGTCACGGCATAAAGTATCTAAGATTGGGATGCTCCTTTGAAATGCCATTCCTTCGTCCATAGCCGCACGATGTCACGGAATAAGGTGATTGGAGGCGGGAGATGACGTCACATGCGGGTACTCATAAAAGCTTTAAACAGTGTTCTACATGGTTCTGTCTCTTTGCGAAAATATTAGTAGACTGTGACCTGCATTGCCATACGCATCCATGCACTGCACTGGATACCCGCATTAAAAGACACAAAGACGCGCGCAAAGTGCAAGTGGAAGTCCATGTGAACAGGATAAGTCCGCCAATCATAGAACTGTGTTTTTAATTTCTAAAATAGTTTGTTGTTCAACAGACCTTCTTTACGGCAGTCGCAGATTGCAGGTGCGACTCTTGTTAGACAGAGCTCAAGATTTATACCAATATATGTCACAAAGGTGAGAATACCTGTGTAGCTAATATATATCCATTATAATGATACATGATGCCGGTTGAGGTACACGAGCTTGTGGTTAATCTTGCTGAAATTATTTAAGGAAGCTGCTATGTCTGCGAGAGGGGCGAAAAAAAGGAATGTACGTGAAATTAAGAATGCCACAGAAGAAGGTGGGCAATTTGGGAGAGGAACATATCGCCAGCGCCGACGCAAGCGACGTATGCACGCACGAGGATACACGCACGCACGACTCGCACTCACGACGCACACATGTCACACACACACACACACACACCACACACACCACCAGAGACACAGCAAACACGCAGCACACAAAAACACACACACACCATCCGCACACATTCCACACAGCACACACGAGGACAGCAGGCCCACCGCGAGGAAGCCACACACGCAGACCCACAACCAGTGCACACAGCTCTCACACAACACACACACACATACACACACACTATAGCAATTGATTTAAATTAGGCATAAATGGTGTTTTATCTGCCTGAAATAGCTGGGAAAATCAAGAATTATTTCAGAGATTTATCAAACGAGAACTAAATTTTAATTACAAGTAAACTTGTGCATACACCCCGCCACAATCATAGGAAGCATTAATGGATCAGGATCCCCTGCATTATGTTATCTTCTTAATTGACTCAATAGTGATCTACCATATAGTGAACCAAAATATCTCAGATCTGCTGCTAAACAAAAAAAAATCGAGCTATACATGTACTACAACACTTTTCACAAAATGTGTCAGTTCTCTAGATCTTGCTGAAGAAATAATGAAAAGTTTGCATGAAGAAATAAATGCACTATACAACTGTACATGTAGTGTAGCTAGCAAACTCTTCAAAAGATTCACAGTTTCGTGCTGCGAACAAGCGTGACACTGACTCAGAAATGAACTAGTCACAGAAAACATTCAAAAGATCGTCGTTGCTCTGTTAAACTAACACGGGGAAACCGTGCGTGCGTGTGTGCGTGCGTGCATACGTGCTTGCGTGCGTGCGTGTGGCATATATTAAAATGTATTGCAGTCATTCAACCATCATATATGATTTTAGCTAAAATCAGTTTGCAAGAAGGTGAACAACCACTATTTTGAAATTAAAAAAAGTTCTATGATTCGGATTATCCTGTTCACATGGATCCAATGACTTTGCGCGTTTGTGTATGTATGTCACTCGTCCAAATCACTTATTCTTGATCGTGCTGGCGAGATGGATTCAAAGAGGATCCAATCTATATTTGTGACTCAGCCAATTACTGCTTGTTGCTAGATAGGAACTATCCTGTGACAGGTCACAGCGATAGGTGACCCAATAGCCGAAGCAATTTGTCCCGGTTCGAAAACGATCCGAGATTGACCGGATCAAAAACGACATGGTCGATTTTGAAGAGAGCATTCCCGCGACGTTTGATCTATCCCCCTGCTCCTGCTCCTGCTCCTGGGATTGGGTATCCTCCAATATTGCCTCAGCCGATGTCGATGATTCCAGCAACGTTGATAGATTGATGGAAGGACGCCTTCCCAACACTTCGTCCAATTCCTTGAAATAACTGCACGTTGTTCGTGCCCTTCCCGATCTGTTGTTGTTGTCGACCACCTTCTTATAAGTATTTCTTAACCGTCTGAGCCGATTATTAACTTCTTGTACAGTTTTAACTATCCCCCGCTCAGCCAGTTTTTCAAAAAAAATTTGCTAGGCTAGGCGATTTGTCGAGGTTCCTGTTAACTGCGCTTGTCTAAAACCTGATTTCCAAATCGCGACATTATCCTCATGAGACCACAGTCGATCAACCTATTCTGCTGCTCTTTGGGGCATTTTGACGGATATTTTAACTCCATGAAAATACTGAAAAACGCGCGTGTAGAAACTGAGAAATGCGGAAGTAAAGCGGAAGTCAACACTGACGCCATCTACCACCGTACTAATGTTGTCTCGTGTCGTGTGTCGCTGCACGCTCACATGGCAAACATGAACCAGCGCTCGGGTCAATTTCGTCCCGGATCGTTTTTGTACCCACGACAGAATGTGTACAAAAACTCCGGGACAAAATAGCACGGATCACGTTTGTACCGAGAAAACGTCCGTGTGAACGCTTGGCCCGGGACAAATTGCTCTGTGTGAACGCTTGGCCCGGGACAAATTGCTTCATGTGAACACTTGGCCCGGGACAAATTGCTCCGTATGAACGCTTGGCCCGGGACAAATTGCTTCATGTGAACGCTTGGCCCGGGACAAATTGCTCCGTGTGAACGCTTGGCCCGGGACAAAATTGCTTCATGTGAACCGCTTGGCCCTGGGATTTTGCAAATTGGGCTCGCGTGTGAAGCTTGGCGCCCGGAGACAAATTGCTCGTGTGACGCTTGGCCGGGCAATGAATTGCTCCGTGGTGAACGCTTGGCCCGGGACAAATTGCTCCGTGTGAACGCTTGACCCGGGACAAATTTCTCCGTGTGAACGCTTGGCCCGGGACAAATTGCTCCGTGTGAACGCTTGGCCCGGGACAAATTGCTCCGTGTGAACGCTTGACCCGGGACAAATTTCTCCGTGTGAAAGGGTCATCCTGGATCAGGTTAAACTGATCCAGACCACACGCATCCGTCCTACAGAGGCCCCTCGTGTTCAATTTAAATCGCCTATGTCACGAATAAGTCCGTGCACAACTGCACAAGTGTAGACATATTGGGTCTTACCTATTAGCGGACTATTTACTGATTACTCGTCAGAATAAAAATATTACAGGTCACAGCGATCATCATATCACCATTTACCATCGTTTTCATCTTTCGTCCCGACAGACCCGTTTAAAAACACGTTTTTTAGTTGTGACCTCTTTTTTTATCATTTCGTTTTAGCAATTATTAAATGTGCTTCATACCGGTATAGGAAAACTGGTGTTGGCCAGTGTCATTACATGTTCTTTTTGTTCTCTCTCAAGAAATCACATAGTAAAGAAACTTAATGTTTGCCCCGCTTTTACTCTGCTTCGGTGTGTGCTCTTGATACAGTGCTTTTATTTTAATAGGCAAATATGTGGGATCTAGACCAATCAAGCTGCGCAAAAGTGCGTGGAAGGACAGGAATATTGATATTGTCAAGAAGAAGCAAAAAGAAAAGAAGAGGCTTGGATTGAGATAGTGCCTCGTGATGAGCCTGCAAGATGAACATAAGTCATGAATTACTGTATTCATGTGTTTTGTGTGCACATATATATATATATCAAGAGTGCATAATAGAGATAATGCTCTATTATGCACTCTTGATATATATATATATATATGTGTGTGTGTGTATGTGTGTGCGTGCGTGCGTGCGTGCGTGCATGTGTGATAAATAGATAGGTAGATATGGATGTTTGTTTGTAGTGTGTGTATATATTATAATGTTACGGTGATCATCCAGGTCACGAAATTCAGATTTCTTTCACCAAACCAGCCCTCGCAAATTTTGTTCGTAAAATCAATGTCATGTTTCACGCTTGCATTCTCGATTTCAAATTTGTAAAATATTGATAAATTATGGCGTGGTATCCTTCCGGTAAAACAGTAGGCCTAATGTAGGCTACTTTCTCATTAATGCTATAAATAAAAATGTAGGTAGGCCTACTTGCTAAAATGGTTGAAACCACCGGCACGGAGGGCCGGCGTTTTGCCAATGTTACCGGACCTCCAAATAATTTGCCGGCATATGCCGGTGGGCCGGTGCTAATTTCGCGCCCTGTCATCTAAAATACGTAAATCATATACTATCGCCGTGTCCATTTGCAAAACGTCTGTGCTTTTATTTGGCAATCCGACTGCATCAATCTTGCAGCGACTGCTTGAGCCAACTGCAGATGGTAACGACTGACATTAAGTCAGATTTTGTTTTCTTTTTCGCTTCATAACGGCAGACATTTTAAGTTTGTAAACTCGAGCCTGTTTAATGTTACATAGACTTACCATAGATTTCGAGATCCCGCGGTAAGAATAGCAAAATATGTTCTCGTTAATCTGGGCAGACCTGCACAATAAATACCCAAGATCTTATAAATCCGAATTACCTTGAACACATAATATGCTCTGTTCGTCAGTCACCATTTCACTCCAAGGACAGCTGAGCAGCGCAATTTTCGATAAGAAATAATGTAATAAATGTTGCTTATGTAAACATTAACCACAGCTGCGTTTGGCTATTTACAAAATATCACTAGACTATATTGCTGCAAATTAGAACTAGTTCAAATTTTTTTGTTGCTATTGTTATTGCCGGACGTTATCGCGATTATACGTGCAAGGGCTCATTGGAAACAATAGTTACATTTTCTCAAAGGTCAAACGTTACAGTTGGGCCTAAGATAAAATATTGCTTGTTTCCCCTTAACCGCCCGACTCGCCAAAACGCCGCTACTCGACACATTTTATTGGCCGATTAAAACAAAACAAAAATTATTTCGTTTCGCCAAAAAAAAATCAAATTCGTTCTGCAAAAACATATCCACAAAACAGAATATACAATATACATATACACATCTTGTCAAAATAAAATAAAAAAGATTTTTCATCTACCTACCTATAGCATACTCGGTACCCTGAGAGGCGAGTAGGTAGGTAAAGGGGAAACAAACAATTTTTAAGGGTGGCCTTGGTCATTGTCGCTGCAGTGTGTTACAAACCTTTACTACAGCGTGTATTCGTTATCATGTCCATCCTGGATGTATTTATTTAAAAAAAACATCTCGTGTATTTTATGATGCTTCACTTAATTTTGAGATTAATTACCTAGCATTTCAGTATTTACTGTTAGCATATTCAATTTGCTTTGTACATAGCCTACCAGACAATGATACCAGCAAGTTGTGCTACACTCGTGAAACAAACTGTTGTCATCTAGTGTAGATGTATTAAATGGTTCGTATAAATTAATTAAATTAATTAATAAAATTAATGATAAATTAATATAATAAATTTGTAAAATGTCATATATATATATATATATATACATACAGAAAACACAGAGAAGACACAGACACACACTCTCTTCTGCTCTATCCATCTATCTGTCTGTCTGTGTCTTTTTCTGTGTTTGTCTGTCTGTCTCTCTGTCTCTCTGTCTCTCTCTCTCTTCTCTCTCTCTCTCCATGCGAGTTAATCATCCTCGTCTCCCTCTTCCTCTCAGTCCTCTCTCTCTCTCAATGTCTCTCAATCTTCTTCTCTCTCTCTCTCTCGTCTCTCGCTCTTCCTGTCTCCCCTCGCTTATCACTCCACCCTCGCTTTCCATGCTCCCGCTGGCCTTATTGTGTAATAAAGTAGCCTCGTTTTGTCCATGCTGGCTTCGCTGTTTCTAACTTACTGTGCTCGTATAAGGTCGCTATAGATACTAATGCTCATGCATTGCATGATAGCAGGCGCGTCGCCACCCTTTCTTTTTGATAACGCTCTTGTGATGTATGTATGTATTATTTACATAAA